ACTTAAAATTCTCACTACTCAAGCAATATAAATGAAATCTATGGACATGTACAGCTTCAGGGAAATGATATCTACATTTTATCTTCACAAATCAGAATCAAATGATGCTTGTATGAAGAGATAAAAATTTGAAAATTTACCTCTTGCAGCTGGAGTCGTGTATGGAGTTTGAGCCGCTTTCAAGGAGTTGTGATGATCAGGTTAGCTTCCTCAAGTTCCCAGGAAGCTAATGCAATGCTTACTTGATGCTGGGAGTGTTTGAATCGTGATAGAGAAGTCAAGGTGCAAGCTCTATTTTTTTATTAAGGAAGTTGATGAAGATGATGTTACAGTTGTGTAACATGGTGTGGGATTGTTTATAGAGGATGTTTAGGAACTTTTAGAAGTGAAAAGCCAAGAAACGCACGAGTGGATTCTAAGTTTGGAGTTTTTGGTTAGAATGTGCAACACTGGTGGCTTGTTGTGCAGTTCTGAGTTTTGGAGAGTTTTTGGGCTTGTGTCTTCGTGTCTTGGCTTGCAATAGACTTGTGCATATGTATGGAAAAGGTTGGAGATCAAATGTACTCAAGATTTCTGAATTCTAGCATTTTGGCTATATAGCTTGCTTTTGAAGAAAAGTGAGAAGACAAATCTTAAAGTGTTGTACAAGCATGTTCTGAGTTGAAAGAGGCCTTAGAAATATTTCTTTTGGTTTATAGGGGTTATGTGTGCAGAAAGAATAAGTGCAAGGCTCAAGAAGTTGACAATTGCAAAAGTGATGCTTTATTAAAATGGAAATGATAACTTTGTGCCATAAATGGAAAATCATTTTAGACAAAGCTTAAACCAAGTGGATAAGGGACTAAATAGTTGTGTAAACCATTAATTATGGAGTGACAAACAAGTTTGAGGCCTGCAAAACAAAGATTATGCAGCCTAGAATGGATTTGGTTCATGTGTTCATCAAGAAATGGCTTGTAATTCAAGTTTGAAAATCCTAACTTCTTGCCTTCGATTCTCCTTGTTCAAGTATGATCTAAATGAGTTCGTGGACATTTTGGGAATATTGTAACATCCTTTACAACCTCTATGTTGGACATTTTTTAAGATTCATCTTGGAACTATGTGAAAAATTTCCATGAAGTTAGGTCAAAATCCTGCCTAAACTAGGGCAAAATTTCACTAAGTTTTTCAAGTTTCATTAACATGTCTTCTTAAAATCATAACTTGAAATCCATGAATTTTTAGAAAAAGTTGTGTTCTAAAATATTTTATATATCATTGAGATATACAACTTTCATGTTGGAAGTTTCCTTTGAATCATCTTGCATCATGGTGAAAATTTGGCATCAAGTTGTGAAAAAATGTGAATTTCCAACACTTAGAAATAATTCTAAGTTTTGAAATTTTGACTTTTCAAAATGAAATCTTGACTTTTTGATTTCTTGATGAACAAGTTTCATATTTTGACATGTCTTGATGAATTGTAATCTTTGAAACTTGATTTTGATCAAAAAGTCAAAGTTTGACTTTTCAATGTACAATTGACTTTTCATCGGTTGACTGAAATTCATCTGTCAATCAATTGATCTTGAGGAATGTTTTGAGCCATGTCATTATGTAAAAATGAAGAATTTGAAACCTTTAGATCATGTCCCAAACCAATAAGTCATTTGCTAGGTCAAAAATCAGAAATTGCACATTCTCAGTCAAAACCCTAATTTTGACCATTTTGCCCATTTTGATGATTTGATCAAATTTCTAGAGGAATTATGATCCAAATTTGATCAAATGACATATATGAGTTCATAATGTTGATATGGACAAAAAATTATGAAGTTTGACTGTAAATTGACTTTTTTCCCAATATAGTTGATTTTAGGTCAACTGATCAATTGACTGAGCAAAAATGTGATCCAAGACTTGAAACTTGACATGAGCAATCTTGAGAGTCTAAAATGATCCATGAAAGTCATATGGGGCATTAAAAGTCCATTTGTCCTTGTGCAATCTCAAACCCTAATTTTCAGTTATCAGTGCTTGAGGAGATGTCTTGAGCTGATCAATCCTTGTGTAGTCTTGAACTAATGGAGATCTTGTGAGAGATTACTTGAGCAAAGAGAGGGAAATTTTGGGGGTAAAACAGCTGCCCTTGTTCAATCTTCTTAAACCTGAAGAGTTAGATTGGCGGATCCGCCATTCGTGACTTGAAGTTGGAAGATGATTGAACACTAGAGTGCCCAGAAATTTGCACTCGAAGATGTATTGGGAATGGGATTATAGATGCCATTTGGAGGAATGATGGTAAATACTGGAAGAGGTATCAACATAAATCTTTGTCGATTTATACTAAAACTTGATGTTTCACCTGTGGAAAAAAAGGGTTAGTAAAATGCAGATGTATGCATGATATTCACAAGATGTGGTAGATCATGCTAAATGCATTTTATATGTATATGCTATGATGTATGAATGTAGGATGCATATTTGTCCGGGAAAATAAATCCCTGACTACCGCTGAGGAGTTTTGAATCCCGGATTGCTATTGGGGATTATCTCTTGAATGTTAGTTGTTACCTGGTCGGGTCCAGGCTTCACAACTTGCTGAGGATGAGGAAGTCAACTGCTATCTGGTCGGATCCAGGCTTCATGGTAACTTACTGGTGTTCACAGTGATTTCTGGTAAACAACCGCTAGTCTTCCAAACTATCGAATAAACTTAATTACTATTATTCAATTTCTCTGGTAACTTGCAGGATCGACTAGATTGATCCTATGGGACATAGTTGTTTGGCTAAATCTAATTGTAAAATTGGTATTCATATTTAGGACTTCTAATTAAAGTGTTTCAAAGACATCCAATCCACTTCGATTACTACACTAAATGATTCGAAGGATAATTTCTATATGATATAAGGAATGTTCATTAGAAAAGTAAAAAGACTTGAGATTGGCAGGGTTAAGTGAGTGAATGTAAAAGTTGCTGAATGTTTAAAGGATTCGAACATAAGAAAAGCGTTTAAATGCAGAAATAAATAAATGACTCTGAATATAAAAGCTTTAGTGTAAAGGCATGAACGTAAAAATGTTTGAAGCACAAATGAAATGGAAATGAAAGACAAAACTGGAGAATATAAAGAGTTTTCATTGAATTGTAAATGTTCGTGTTATCATACGTACATCTTTCGAGCATTCGTTTCCCTATCCATGCGGTATTTTGAATGTTTACTGAACTTGTACAACAGACATGACACACCGAAATCCTAACACTAAGACCTCTATTTATACTATTTCGACCATAACGGTCTTGCTATCAGAATCTGCCACGTTCGAAGCATGCAGAGCATTACTTCCCTCTAGCCTCCATGCGTCCTCGAACGCTCCAACGCTTATGTATTTGAATTTCAAATATCCCGCTCACGTTTGAATTTCAAACGCCTTGGAACCTTCGTTTCGAATTCGTTTCAAAGGTTATTTTCGAAAACAACCTTCACAAATATAATCTTATCATTATTTCGAAAATTCTTTAGACTTACACTCCACAACTATCATTCGAAACCTTGAACTTTAATATTTCCATTCGGAAAAAATAGTCTCTTCCATTCCAAACCATAAAACTTGCTTTATTCAAACAAAGCCCAATCATTTTATTTCGAATCACAATATCAAAATCTTCAGCCAACAACTGGGGAAGAATAAATTAACTGTTATCTAGTCGGATTTCAGGCTTCGCAGAAAATTTCTTGGGGAGAGTGAAGTTAGACTGTCATCTGGTTGGATTTCCAACTTCACAACAACCTGCTGGAGATAAGGAAGTTAACTGTTATCTGATCGTGTCCAAGCTTTGCAGTAACTTTCTAGAAAGGATGAAGTTAAACTGATATCAGTTCGAGTCCAGGTTTCATAGTAACTTGAAGTGGTAACTACTATCTGGTCGGGTCCAGACTTCATAGTTTTTTGAAAAGTTATACTATTATCTGGTCGGGTCCATGCTTCATAGTGTCTTGCTGGAGATTATAGTTAGTTGTTATCTGGACGGACTCCAGGCTTCACAATAACTTGCTTGAATAGACAAAATTGAACTGATATCTGGTCGGATCCAGGCTTCACAGATTTTGAGGTGGATGAAGTTAGTTGCTATCTGGTTGGGTCCAGGTTTCACAATAAACTTGTCTGAAGAGATAGAGTTGAACTGATATCTGGTCGGGTCCAGGCTTTACAGTTACTTGCTTAGAAATTAGTTGTTATCTGGTCGGATTCCAGGTTTCACAATAAACTTGTCTAAAGAGATAGAGTTGAACTGATATCTGGTCGGGTACATGCTTTACAGTTACTTGCTTGGAAGTTAGTTGTTATCTGGTCGGATTTCAGGTTTCACAACGAACTTCTGGGGGGAATTGCTATCTGGTCGGATCCACACTTCACAATAACTTACTTGAAAAGATGAAGTTGAAAACTGATATCTGGTCGGATCTAGGCTTCATAGTAACTTGTTGGGGTAGAGGCAAACTCTACCGGGGAAAAGAAAT